CAATGGTTTTGTGAATGCCATTGGTGGCTAAATGTTAGTCATAGGCACCTCATGGGGCAGTTAGGTGCCTAAATCCCCCTTGTGAATCTAGCATATAGCAGATACAGTATTATCTAAGTTATGGAAATTAAAGATTTTAGCTGAAATTCATCCTTCCTCTGAGAGCCAGTACAAAGCCAATGCACCACTTAGGTCTCACTTAAACTATACTTTGAGGGTATAAATGAGATTTCAATTGTGCTCAAGCCTTAACCTGGGTCCCTATACAGGGGCAGATTTCACCCATACAAACTTATGCCGATGTCTTTAGGTGCCAGCATAGACTATTGCATTGGTTTTGGAGTCCAGGGAACTCTAACTTTCCAGCATTAGAAATACATTATAAACTGAATTAACACAAAGCTTATGTTAATGTGACCTCGCAAGTATATTTAGCTTATGGAATGTACCTGCCAGAGGTCTTTCTAAAAATTTCAACATGCTCTTGGCATAGTTTCTAAAGATGGTGTGTGTAGTATATTATACTTAATGATTTATAAAATATACCTATATAAATTAAGTAATTTCTAGCAGCTGCTCATGTATTTGGTTCTGCTGAAAAGCTCTTCTTCTTCTTTTTTTTTTTTTGATGCCTGGTTAGATTTCTGTCTGGAATTCATGCACACCCACACACACAGGTTTAGAGTGGGCCTGGAGTATTAGCCTTCTGCAGCAAAGCTGGAAAATACCTATTGAGCCTGAATGAATCAGAATATATCTGTCTGAAAACTTTCCCCATTGCTTGGTTGTTCATTATCTTGTCTGCCTTCCCTTTCCTCCCCCTGTAAGAAACAAGGGAAACATATTGTATTTTTGCCACCAATATTTTTAATTACCTAGGGCTTTTCCAATTAAAAATATATAGCTGTTTATGAAATGATAAATTATTCTAATTGATATGGAAAAATTAATAAAGCATGAATAGTCATAACAGGGAACTTCACCCTAGGGAATGCATTCATTTACTGTGTATCCTTTGAAAACATAAAGCAATTAATTGTCATGTTTTTAATCATTTCCATTTACAATTTCCTATTTATGGTATCAAAGATATTTGTCTTTAAACAAGGTATTTATCTATGAGAACCATTTTTTCTCTTCCTGCTTAGACCCCCCCTCCACAAAACTCTGGTGGGATCCACTAGCAAATTCCTAGATATGAAATGAAGAATGAATATTGTATTCAATTAAAACTGCAGAGGGAATTTAGGTAAGGAGAATGTAATTACCCATGCTAGTACTACATTAAGAAACTGATTGAAATAAATCTATCATTATATGAGGCAATCTGTGCATCATTCTAATGAGATAGTTGACGCTGGATGACCACATATGCCTTGCATTTTCCATTTCTAAAGAACAGGATAACATCAAATTAATCCATGAAGTTTGAAATGGGAAAACTTAAAACAAAACACAAGTTTCTTGGGAGACTTGATGATTCCTAGGATTAATAATGAAATGCAGAAACTTTCAAGACTAGGTTGCTGCTTCAAAACCAGATCAGGTTAGTAATTGATTTTTACCCTGCATACCCAGGCTATACCATTTCTTTATCCATAGCATTTCTAAGCTATTCACTCTTTTCTTTCTGTCCAGGCAGCCAACGTACTTGCCCTGACCCTCACCATCTTCTATGTTACTTATTCTAACTTCTTCCTCTCAGTTTCCCTAATACCTATCTCATGTCCATTTGGTCCATACAAAATGGTGCTCCTAAGATCTTCTTTGTACATCTGTCTGATCACATCACCCCTCTCTTTAAATCCTCCCGCTAGCTCTCCCTGTTTCATTGCATCAAGTTTAAGCTTCTTGCCCTTCACCACTCTGCCTGTCTGCACTTGCTTCTCTACATTTGCCTCTTATTGTGTAGCCTCCCTCCTTTTCTGTGCTGTACTAACAGTGCCTGTCTGTCTGTCCATTTGCTTCACATCCAAGCATCTCTGTGCCTTCTTCCATACTGCATTCCTCTATGCATGGAATGCACTCCCTGAATTGCCCCTTCAGGACACTACCCTCTCTTCATAACCCTGTGCACCTCTGCTGTGAAACTTAAATAAATCATCCAATTAATGATGTCTAGGCTGAATGGCTTCCGTACTGGCAGTGTGGCTGAGACTGAAGTATCGTCTCACACGTAGGGCTCCATCCAGGTCAGAGCTGAAGCATATTTGCAGACAGTATGAGGAAGCCTCCATTACTCTTGCTTGTTCTATAAGTATTCCTTTCATTACCAGAGTTTTCAGTCCAGCCACTTTTAGAGTATAAATTTAATATTACAAAGGCATCAATCCCACTTTGATATAGTGCTTTAAAATCTTCACGTGAAAGGCACTATGGGCTTAATCCAACTCCCGTTGAAGTTAATGGCAATTTTCCCATTGTTTTCAGTGCAGCTGGATTTGGCCTCATATAAATTCCAATTGTTACAATTAACTTTAGACAAAATATCAAAAATAAATATCTTGAGATGGTGTAAAAAATAGTAGAGCTGGGAACACAACCTTATCTTTCACTAACAAGCTATAGAAAGACAATATATACCAACATTTTCCTTTAGCTGTATTTTCTTGATAGCAGGGGGGGGAACTCGCCAAAATCTCTCAGCTAAGATTTGACTTTTTAGATCTGCCATTTATGAAACAATGACAACAACACAAAACAACTCCGTTATCTATTCTGCCCAAGGGGGCAAGGTGCATTGTCAGGACCCACTGTTGTTAATAAAAGGGAGTACAACTAGTTATCATGCGAGAGTTCATAAATAAATCATGAAACTCTGTTATGGACCTGATTCAGCAGCATCCTCTACTCTTGCGGAGCGGTACTTACTCATGCATGTCATCCCTTAGAATTCAAGGGGTGTCCCTGTGCAAGTGCTAGTCAACGTGAATAAGAGTTGCAGAATTGTACTGCGTGTGAGCTAATGGCTAACTGGGATAGCAGTGTACTCAGAAAAGCTTGGAAGAGGTATTTCCAGACAATGGTATGGCAGATGTATTTCAGCAGATGTACAATGTTCCATGAGAAAAAAAGTGAAAGATAAAATAGGATTAAAAAAGGGACCTTGAAAAATACAATATAATTATATGGACCCACCAGCAAGACCATATGTCCCTGAGGAGAAACCCAGCCCTTAAGCCCCAGCTACTATGAAAGCACTGTGCCTAGACCCTGCATGGGGACCTATGACTAACTTGTTTTCTATCTATTCCTCTCTAGCTGCTGGAAAGGAGAGAAGGCAATATTTCTGTCTTTCCACCCTCCCTAGACCCTCCTGGTTACTGGGGATAGAGAAAACCCTCTACTCTTCCTATCCAGCCTTCTAGTTACTATGCAGAGAAGTGATGCCTTGCTATTCTACATATTCTTTGGCCTCTGATACTGAGTATTTTGTGGGTTACTCTGCCATAAATACTTCCATTGCTTGCCACTGCATCCTGTCATAGCTTTCCTAAGAGCAACAGCAGTGTGAAATTGACAGGACTCCTGCTCTGCCAATCCCTGCTGTTCTAAAGGGTAGCAGTATAACTAATGAAAGTCTTCCCAAATTTAGCTCTGCTTCTGTTTGGTGAAGGTATGAGCAGTGATGGCAACCCTAGATCTTCTCTTTGCAGTCACATGAAGACATCACTGTATTGGTTCACCTTTGAAAGGGGAATCTTCAAAATCAAAAGGGCTAAACCATTTACTTTAAAAAGTGAAAGCGTTCATCCTGATGTTTTAACTCTAGCTCACTGCTTCCCATGTATCTCTGTCTCATTAGGGAAACTTTTCTACCCCTGGATATAAAAGTTATCAAGAGGTAGATTTAAAAACAGCTATCAAAGTCCTTTAGCTCAGTCAGATGGAAGCTTCTATTTGCAGGGAGACAGAAGTGTATTAGCGTTCTCAGCCAGCTTACCCCTCCTTCTCTTTGTAGCAAGTTAACAAAATTTGTTTGCTTCCTTTCTCCATCCGCTGGTAGGAGGTCATACTACCTACTGTCTACACTGGGATATTTGGAAGTTGGAGAAAATAAGATTTAAAAAAAATGATTTGATCTTATTTCAAATCAAAACATTGATTTTACATGTTCTGGAGTGGTTTATAGGAATATTCCCTAGTACCACTAACAGCGGCAGGTTATATCATTTTTGTAACTATTCATGCACTGTACCTAATAGGGACATGGCACCTTCTTTTCATTCACTCCCATCCACCTACTGGCTTATGTAGCTGAGCCTTCAGTATTCGGCACTCCGTCCTGTGAAATCATGACGCAGAACTGGGTGAATAATGGAAAAATGTTCATTGAATAATTTTATGGTGGAAAAAAAAATCAGTGAATTTGAAACTATTAGCAGATCGGCTCCAAGGGGGATACCTCATCTGATCTCCACCAGGGCTGAATTACAACTGTCCAGGATCTCTTCAGGTGGGGCTGAGAGATCTTCTTCCTCCCTAGCCCACTACTTTGTCCGCAGCCAGGAGCAGGGAGGCCTGAGCCCAGCAGGGACCCCTGTGAGCGGGCTGGGGCTCCTGCCACCCCGGCTCTGATGAGAGTGGCAGGAGGGACCGCCACAAGTGACCGCCTGCTGGGGTGGTGGGATTTTTTGGCGACGCTTTCTCACACACAGTCAGCGCCCTCCGCGGGGGCGGGGTGCCAGGCAGCTCCTCCCTTTTCACCCCCCCATCCCGGGCTTTCTGTTTGGGGGAAGGTGGCCGCGGTTGGGACCCGACCTCCATTCCTTGGCCACCCCAATGGGACCCCGCTCTTGCTTCCTACCCAGGCTGCTGGGGCCACTGGCGGAAACCCAATTTAGGGGCTGGACGCAGCCCCAGCTGCACACCCAGAGCCGGGGCTTGGCTCGCACCCGGCCCCTGGGCTGATGCGGCTCCCCGCGCCCGCCCCCCTGCCGCCGAGCCCCCTCCCTCCGGCGTGACGCGGCTCGCGCCGCTCCCGCTCCATCCCGCCAAGCTGCCCGGCGGCTGGGAGCGCGGCCCCTTTAAAGCCGGGGCTGAGCCGCCGGTCCCCGGTCCTGTCTTCTTCCCCGGCGGGCACCAGCTGGCCGCAGCGGAGCCGGGAGGGGCTGCCCCCTGCGCCGCCTACCGTCCCCTCGGCCACCTCCCGCTCACACCGCGCTGCCGAGCCCGGCTGGCCAGCGAGCGGGAGGCGGCGGGCAGGAGCCGGGGGCAGGGCGCTGCAGCAGCAGGGGGCGGTGGTAGGCAGAGGCGCCGGATCCGGAGCTGGGTGGGGGGCGCGGCCGCTAGGTTCCCAGGCGCGGCCCCTCATGCGTGGCTCCGGGCATGCTGCCGCTGCCCGCGCGAGTCCCCGTCTATGCCTGGTCTGAGCCGCCCGCCTGCTGCCCTTGGGTCGGGTCGGCGCCTCCCGCAGGGCTCGCCGCGGGGACATGCCGCGCTGAGGAGCGGCTGGAGGCGGCGGCGGCGGCGGCAGGCAGGGGCTCTCCCTGTGCCTGGGATCTAAGGGCCGGCGCCGGGCAATGACCCCCCGCTCCTCCGCCTCTGAGGACTGAAGGGGCTCGGCACGGACCGGCCGCGGAGGGGACGCGCGGCTCCAGCGCTTCAGAGGAATGAGACTGTAAGTCCCGGCAACTTTGTTTCTCTCCCATCGCGGTGCCTTGTGATACGGTCCGGGGCGAGGGCTGCAGGGGAGCGATGGGGAGCTGTGGGGGGTGGGAAGCGCCTGTGTACACCTATATAGTGGCGGTGCTGAGAGCCATTGAACCAAACGGTAACCCCTTGGGAACCACTTCAAGCCAGCGGGTGCAGCGGTGGGTTACCAGCTAGAAGTGTGAAAAATCGGGACGGGGTGGGGGTAATAGGCGCCAATAAAAGAAAAGGCCCCAATTAAGGACCGTCCCTATAAAATCGGGACATCTGGTCATCCCACACCCCATAGTTCCAGAACCTATGCAGTGGGGCAAGCGTTTCTAAATAAAACATCTGACCGAGACTCTATAGCTGCAGAGAGAGCGTGTGTGTGTGTGTGTGTGCGTGCGTGCGTGCGGGTGTGTTCAGCCCAAAGAACGACACCGTGAGGGCAGGCGGGCTGCTTGGCTTAAACGCGATCCAGCGTCTCCATCCTCAGTTACAGGACAGCTGCAAGTGAGCAAGGTTTGGTCAGCCCCACACGCTCTGCTGCAGATTAGTTATCACAAGGCTGGTAGGCAACAGCTCTTCAGCAGAGAAGGGGGATCCTCTGGCGGAACACCCTCGCCCACTCCCTTCTGCCCGGCCTGGGGTCTTGCATACACTAACAGTCCCGCCTCCCCGTGCGCCCTGTAACTTTTGGGGTGAATTTCTAAGCGTGCCGGGGATAGCTGATCCCCGCCAAAGGAGTTGTCGTTTTGACAAGACCTTTAGTCTGCGTGATGTTAGGTAGTTAACAGAATGGCGTGCAAGCTAGTGACCACACAGAGTTGGACTGTAAAATCTGAACATTGCAGCATGTTTGACAACCCGCGGTTGGACTTAATGTTTCAAATAAGAAGCCATTTGAAATTCTGTGAGAAGAGAATTAAGTGATTATCAGTGTAAAGCAGAAGTGGTGTTAGCTGGATGCAGAAGTGCTAATAATTTGGGGTAGGGAGAAGAGGAATCTTGAATTCCACAGTGTTAATTTAGCCTTTACGCTGATTGGCTGATCATTTCAAATGCAAGATGAATTCTAGACAGGAGCAATTGTCCATCCCTGAAACATGGGGCATTTAACTGACACCTGAGTCATTACTTAATGGTTCAAATTAATGTCTCAGGATATTTCCAGGCTATTTTCCATCTGTCGAACTGATAATCAGTATTTTTTATTGCACTTAAAAGCTACAAATATACACTGAGATATTCTGAGCCCTAGCAAATATTATTTCTATACTGGCATCTTTGATGGGAATTCATTTCTTGTGTGCCTATTACTTTCCATGCCCGAATGCAATCTGAGTACCTTTTAATCTGGTCTTTGAATTGTTACATTTCTTTCTTCCTAGTGGTGTTTCAGTAGACTTGTTGACAAGATTAGGTGGGTTTTTTTTTAACCTTTTATTAATAATGAGAATATTATAGCATTTACTATTTTCCTTTATTTCAGTTACATAATAGTAGTTTTAATTCAAAGGATGAATGCAAAATAATTGAGGGGGGAGCACAGACAGATACATATTATTTTTAAAAATCTTTATAATAAACTCCTTATTGCCAATATTTTGGTAATCACTCCTAGCTATTAGCATATAGTGTATGGTATTTTCTCCAAACATATTCATTTCCCCTGTGATTGTTGTAAGAGGAGCTGAATGAGATGCATGGAGGATGGGTTTGATAATTCAGTTTATCCAAATTAATTATTTTTTCTTCAGATATTGGATTAAATCAAGCTTCTTGCTCTACTGTTAAGATAGGTAATATGTTGTAGAAGCTTTTCATTTTCCCAACTGGGAAGATCTTTTATTGTTCTACTATTGAGAGAGTATCCATGCTGAACAGCTTAAGATTTCTCTTTTACTAACAACCCACACTGTAGGTAATGGTTAGCTGAAGGAATACTTTAATTTACTAGTCAGAATTCTACACCTATTTACCAAGAAGGTAAATTAAATGCATGAAAGCTAATGTTTCATTTGAATCTCTTCAGATATCTGACAACCTTTAGAAGTAGGTGACCTCCAGTAAGTTATCTTTGTGATGTGTACAGTTACACTCATGCTGGTTGATAGCAAATTATTCTAGATAAACCGAAACCTGACATTTCAGTTCCTTGATTTATTTTTTAAATAGTAACTTCATGGAAAAAGCTCTGCTTAAAATATTTGGGTTTAAATCTTGGTCCCATTGAAATCAATGGTAAAACTCACATAGAGGCAGGATTTCACCCTTGATTTTTATCATCATTTATGGCTGAGTGCCAACTAGCTTTGAGTTGAAGATGGCACGGCAAAGTCTAAATTCGATTAGTGACAGAATTTACAACTCTCCATAGAATTGCTATTGCATATTGGGCTATGCTTAAGAAATATAAAAAAAGTGTTCCATATTCGGTAAATAGCATTATGTTTTTAAAAAGAATAGACTGCTCAGACTTTACATCTCTTGTCATATAACGTAAGTCAGAATTCTTTGTTGAAACTTTTGTCAGAATTCATCATAAATAAGTTATAGCAATGTTTAATAGAATCAACTAATGAAAAAAGTTATGCAAAATAAAATTTAGAAATTATTTATTAACATTATTTGACTATCTATAGAACTGGTTGAAAATTTAGAGCTTTATTAGGGTCCGGTTCTAGTGGGTGGCTTTAATGAGGAGGGCCCTAAGCACCTTCAAGAGAGGCTCAGTACCTTGTAGGTTTGAACTGTTAATGGTTAATTTATTTGCCAGATGACAACAAAAATTAGCTGATTAAACTCTTTGAAAATATGATTTGATGAATTCTGGTTTTTTTAAAGATATTTACTGATTATTAGAGATGGTCAGTTTTTATAAGGTTGAGAATTTGATGAAAAAAACAGAAATAATCTGCAAAATTTATTTTTGAAATTTAATCTCAATTTTCTACCAGCTCAAAACAAATAACTTCACTTAAGACCTAGCGTACTGTTCTCACTCTGCTAAATTTGTGTTATAGTCTCAATGTCTATAATGTTCTATGTATCAGAAGCAAGATTGGTGTATTGATGGATAAACCACCTTTATATAATAACTATATAATATAAAAAAGAGAGATCCCACCACCATTGCACAAAATTAGAGGAAGTGAAAGTTTGAGATGGTTTATATTTTCATGAATACTCCCTGGATATGAAAGAAGATTCTGGGTTTCATTTGAAAAAATCAAGTCTATATATTAGATTTTCAAGAAAGCGAGGGACCAAATTATAATATTTGTTTCAACCACATATAATACAGACAGGTATGATGCAAATTTCCCCTCAAGTTCTGTCAATGCACATCAGTTCTAGAGATTAAAAATGAATCCCCATAAACTTCAATGGCAACAGGATTGGACCATTTTGTCACAAGTACATAGAAGTCAATGTTGAAACTCCCATTAACATCAATAGTGTAGGATTGGCTCCCTGGGGATTGATCTTGCAAAGTACTGAGCACTTTCAGCTCCCACGTATTTGTATTATGGTAGCACCAAGAGGCCTCAGCTGAGTTGGAGACCCCATTGTGCTAGACCCTGTACAAACACAGTAAGGATACCTGTCCTGAAGAATTTATAATCTAAATAATCAAGACAGACAAAGGCTGACAGGAGAAATGACTCTCCTAAGGTGATCTAGCAGGTCAGTGGCAGAACCAGGACTAGAACCCAGATATCTTGACTCTGACTAGTGTCCTGGACCACACTGCATCCTGAGCACTCATTAAAGTCCATGGGCGTTGAGGCTGCTCGCACCCAAAACACCCTTGACAGCCTGAGCCCTACATGATCATTTCATGAATGTGTCCAGAGGGGAATAACTAATGCACTGTTACCTAACTCTGATCTAGTTTTTAGTTAACTTCAATATTTACTAGTAATAGCCTGCCAAAGAACAGCATATTGTTACATATTGTTTATTCTGTGCTGTTTTTGGTCTTCACACGCACTTTTTATTTTGTCATTGCTTTTAATCACTTTCACACCAAGGCATGGAGTGAGTTTGACTGCTAGAAGCATGTATTTCAGGACTGTAACAAATGCCAGGAATATAATTTCTTGGCTCTAAATGAACCTGCTTCCTTACAGACATTGTAGCAAATAATTCCAAAAATTCAGAAGCTCTAGAGATAAATCTTCCTAAAATTTCATTGTTTTTTTTCTGATGCAGAATAAGTAGTGGTGAAAAATTATAGGGCCCAGTTGTGCCATTTATTTCAATATGGAATGCTGACTAAAATTAAGTATCACAATATGGTCCATGGTTGTCTACTAGGTTCTAGATATTTTTCTTTGTACTATAGATGAAAATCATGCATGTATAAGGGTCCATGCAAGGCTTCTTATGGTGAGGCTGAACTGATGATAGAGAGTATGGTTGGAGCAACTACATAGGGGACCCTCTACTCCCTTCATACTATATCAGGGATCTCCACACTGTCCCCACATAAGCTGATGCTAAAGGTTAGTCCACAGAGTGGGCCTGGAGATATTTGGGTTAGTCTACAGACTTGGGGTGAGACAGGATCTATGGTTATGTGGATCCAGTGTAACTAAGACTGCAGGCAAATGCCACTGAGAGACAATGGCCATTATCTCAGACCATAGACACATATCACTGTCAGCAGTAGCTTAAGCAACATCAGTCAAAGATGATTGACTTGATATCCACCCAGCAACTACAATTTGGAAACCCTGTCAATAGGACAGGAGCCAAATACACTAACAGATACTGAAAAGCCTGAATTTGGGCACATTACAACTGGGCCTCCTTTTAACCAGCACAGTACCTAGAAGTGTCTCAGAGGTCTTCTTGGAGATGTTCCAATAATGTATATGCCTACTGTACTGATTGGCCTGGCCACTGGACCAGTGAACTATTCAGGTGGGACCAGTATTATGAGGATAAGCACAAGTGGCAACCACAACCTTAGACAGA